TTATCATAACATTGACCCGATCTCCCTAGGGTTTTTTTTTCCGGGACTTGGAACCCCTTTGCTAATTTGTATCCCCAAAATATTTATTAGGCATACTCCTGGCAGATCATAAATAGATACTGGTAACATTTCACAAACTTTGTTGCAAGATTCAAAACATATTTAATGTTGTCTACGGTCAAAGGCAGCATTTTCCGCAATCCAGCCATTTGCGTGTTCTTGCATCCTCTGATTTTTGACCTCATTTTAGTCGCTCGTTTCATCTCCAATTCCCATCTTTGCAATAATATCATAGGCTCTTGACGCTCCGGTAATTGCCTCGCGATCAAGCTCGAGTTTGCACAGCTCGCGTACGCCACCAATAATTTAGCAGCCAAGGCACAAAATGCAGCTAATTAATTAACGTTTGACAGGTTGAGTTTTATATATCCCCATTATGGACGATGCATTTTCCATTGTTTGTTGGACGTTTCTTTCAAAAGAAACGTGGAAACCAGTTATATTACAGCATTAAATTTCTTAATTGCTGCCTTGTACCGTGTGATCTGCATGGTTTGCTAAAAAAGATTACCAACGTTTCTTAAGAATATTTGTGTGGCAGTGCTAATTCTTTCTGTAGTGCCCACCTCGCCTTCACGCGGTTGCCTACCTATAAAGTATAAAATATAGGTGGTAAACAAATTCATTTAACTAAATTTATTCATACCCGTTCAGGAATAGATGTGTATGGGTATATTAAATTTTTATATATGGGTATAAATGGGTCACCCAATAAAACTCATTTATTAAATGGGTATTCATTCTGTATTGCCCACTTCACCTTCACACGTTTGCTTGCCTATAAAGTATAGGTAGCAAATAAATTCATTTATCTAAATTTACCTATACTCATCCATGAATAGATGAGTATATGTATCTTAAATTTTTGCATATGGATATAAATGGGTTACCCAATAATATCTATTTAACAAATGGGTAGATATTATTGGGTAACCTATCCAACTCAATTAATCCATTTAGAAATTGTTTTCGCCCAAATCTCCTCTCTTCTCCCACCCAATTTTTTTTTTTTCAGATTTTTCATTTTGTTATAATGTTAACTACTTTTGTTTCATTATTATTATTATTGGTTGATTTTATCTTATCATTTTATTTTCTCTTAGTTTGTTAACTTGTTCATTTTTCTGCATTACCAATTTATAACAAGTTTTAGCCTCTTTTCCTACCTTTCCAAAATGAATTTATACACGAAGAAATGCTAAGGGTTTCAAAATTTTTGGATTAAGTTTTTATATTAACTTTTGAGTTCAAATTTTTATATTCTTATTGTTTAATTATTAAATAATATGTCATTTTGCGACATAGAGTACGGATGAGAAAAAATTTGGTAATTAGGTTTATTGAACATTATAAGCAAATATTTAAAACTAATGATGGGTGCACAGGGTAGTATAAATTGATAACTTAGTTTGCAAAAATAAATTTAAATGAGTTTACAAAAAATTAAAATAAATGGATAATTTGATTACCTAATTCATTTTTTGACTTATCCATTTATACCAATTTAATTAAATGTTTATAAATGGGTTAACTCACTTATATCCATTACCCATTTTAACCAACCCAAACCCGTCCAAATCACCCATTTTGACACCTCTATTACAAAGTATAAACCTGGGGGACTACTTTCATTCATATTGTTGTCAACGGCTACTGTTCTACTCAAAACACTCACACCAGTTTAAGTTTCTCAATAAATAAAGAAAAAATGCAGCATTTTGAAATTAGTTAGGCAGAAAGTAAATTTACCTGTAAACTAATAGTGGTAACATGAAAGCTCAACATTGAGTATCATTATTATTGCTCTAACAAATGTGATTTTCGATGAAAGAAATCCTTTGCAGGTGAAATTTTGCGAAGACCCTTTTCTTTTTTTTTTTAAACATGATGAATAACAAATGGTGTGTTATAGACCAGATAAGAAACCCTTTAGATGATATTATTATGTAGTAATACCAGATTTCCTAACTCGATATTCATCAAAAGGCAAAAGAATCTCTTTATGACGACGAAATTACCTTAGAGGGGGCATCATTCAAACTTGAATCCGAATCAGATCCATGATCGAAATTTCTCTTGGTTGCTTGGATAGTTTAACCGCATTTTCGGAGCATTGACCATTTTTTTTTTTTTTTGCCCTTTTCACAGCATTGACTTCAGTCCGCATATCACAAATATTAATTTTCCACGTGCTTCAGGTAAATAATTAGGGGGGACATGTCGCTGTTGACAAGAGTAATAGGTACATTCCGAATTTGCATCAACAGCAATCTCATCAGACCTAACTTAAATTTAACCCCACTCTGCAGTTCAAGGCTCCCAGTCTTTTTTTTTTTTTTAATTTAACCCCTGGTCCATTATAAATTATCCTGAAAACAATAGAATTTATTATATGAAAAGCTTAAATATATGAACATCTTTAATAAAAACTCTTAACCAATTAAAAAGAAAAGATAAAAAGAAAGACCCGGGGGGGGGGGGGGGAAGAAAAACAAAAATCTATGCAGACTGTCGAGTTGCATGGAACGTATGATGCTTCAAATCATTCAAGTGCTTTAAGAGACTCATTTTTATCCGCATTGCTGGATCCAATTTTTCCCAATTTTTTCATTAAGCCTGTTCCTCGCCATTCCAGACCTGAAGTTATGCGGGCAAAAAAAAAAAAGAACAAATAACTGAGATACCAGCACGAGGCGCGATTCATCAGCAATAAAAATTTGCTGTTCTTTGAACGAAATGGGAAGGAAGTAAACTCTGAATCCAAAAGATTTTATTAGAAATGACTTCTCAGACTAGAGATTGAATCATCTAGTTTGAGAAGTCATGAAACAATTGATCCTAAAAAGTGAAATAGAACAGCAAATATTAAACAGGAAAGAACTTTCTTTTTTTTTTGTCGATTCCTGAATTTGAATGATATAAAAAGCAAACGATTTGCAAGACATAATAACAATATGCTTTCTGAGCTTGCCGGGGTCTTTTTTCTTTTTTTCTTTTCTGCCCATATGCAGTACTTGAAGCAATGTAGGAGGATCGGCTAAAGTTTACTGTTCAAGGACATTGCCTTGTTAATTGTTACCGTAAAAATGATTTGTTGTTGACTTGATTCCCAAATCCGCCAATCTGCATTTTTTGCTTTCTTCCTTTTCCTATAAAAGGGGACAAATTACTAAAGTCTATTGTGTAATTCTTGGGATCGCTCCACTACAAAATTTGGTTGACTTTTTTTTTTTTTTTTTTTAAGGACTCATTAGTTATCACAGTTGACTTTCGATGATAGAGAACATAAATCGGATATGGGTATTTGATTTTCTTACCAGTGTCATTAAAAGCTTCACATGATGATGCTTAATTGCAATAGTTAAGAAATTTTGTCCATCTGTCCAATTCGTATTCAAGTTTAGGTTGTAATGATTCTATTCATCTTTTGTCGGTCCTGTAACAGTAGTAATAGGCTAACACGGTTTGGTAAACTAATCGTTTGGTAAACTAACCAATCGTTTGGTAAATTGGTTTATTTAACCTTAAGTATTAAAAAAAAAAATCTAGTTTCGGATTACGCTACGGTCAAACACTCTTTTTTACATAAAAACGTCATTAACTTATGGGAATAACATTTACTAATAATAGGAGCATTATTTTTGTAAAAGTAGACTAACAAAGTCATGCGAAGAACTATGCTTAAAAGCATTAAAAGAAGATGAGCTTTTGATTTGTGGTTCAACCCTGTTCAAACGCTGTTTATTTTTCGAGATGAAAAGGAAATTCAATTTGAATCAGTTCAAAAGTTCAATTTTTAATCGATTCTTAATTGGATTTGATCGGTTCAATTAATTTTCTGAGTTGACTAATGAATCGGACTGATATCACTTCACTACTATTTGACCGATCAATTTCGACATGAATTTCAAACCATTGTTAAAAGAAAATGTGTTAAATTTAAAATAAAAGCAATCAATTGTACGAAATTCAGCATAAGATTTTTTACGGGTTTGACTAATGGGTGCGGTGCTAATTTTTCAGCCAAAATGTTATAAATTTAAAACAATGTTTAAATGTAGGGGTGCAATAACTATACGACTCAATCAAAAGTAAATCAACCACTTCCCAAGTTAATTTAAAAACTTGCATTCTGGAATAAATATACTTTTCACCAGGCTGACCGATGTAAATAATGCAGTTTTCCAATATAAGAATATGATCGATGTTCAGTTCAGGTTATTAAATGGCGGTTAAACAAAGATTTGTTCAAAAAAAAAAAAAAAAAAAAAGGATCAGATCGCGATTCTGAATTTCCACTCTAAGATTTGTTCAATCAAAGAGTATTAATCATTTCTGAAGCTCAACATTTGAAATTCAACTAAATACATTAACTCGCAATAAATGGGATATTGATTACAATAAATTATATTGGGCCGATCCAAGAAGTAATGCTTAGCTGCTAAAATCATAGCACCGGCGGCGAGAAATATGTCCATCAAACCAGCGTTGGAAGGTCAATAATATTACGCAACCTCTAAAGGTTAGCAATTAAACTCAAATCTGCCAAAATCGCGAAGAGTCCAAAACTTTGACAAAAGGGATAAAAAAAAAAAAAAAAGAAAAGGCATCACTCTTTGAATGGGAATGGATACATACGTATACGAAATTTATAGCAGTGTGGTTGGATTTGTTAGCTAATAAGTAAAGCTTTATTCAAAGTTGTTGAGCTTTCCTTGGCGTTCGTTGTATTGAATATTGATGATCACTCTTCTTTTTTCTCTCTACTACACATAATAAAAACACGCAGAGATAAACACACACATACCGACTGATCAATAAGCAATGAATGAGAGAGAGGCCTTCCTGCACTTAAATTTAATTGCAATATTTACTCCAAATTTCCCTTTTCTGCAACCATCTTGGGATTTCCCCCCCCCCCCCCCACAATTAATACATTTCCTGTCCCTCAATTTACACTCTCTCGTCTTCTACCATTCCCCGCCTTCAATTCTCCTATTCACTACACATCTTCTCTCCTTTCCACCTCTTCCCCATAATTTAATTTTGAACTTTAAAGCAATCTCCTCTCTCCTCTTCCCTATTCTTCTTGTATATATAATGGCCTTACATGTCCATCACCAACAACAACAACAACCACCCCTGCTCTTCCTGTATTCACACTTCAAGCTGGTGGTGCAGCCAAAAGCTCTAAGCTGAAATTCCGGCAACCCTGCCTTCCATCTCTCTCGTAAAGTAACAAAACCCTTTTCCAATATCTACAACACCCTTTCTGGCTCTCTCCTCCTCCTCCTCTGCCTTTTAGGTTGACTAACTGTTAATCAATCTAAAAGGTACACGAACACACGCATACGTTCACTTGTCAATCAAAACTGAATCAAATTTCGAAGGTTTAATTTGTTTCAGTTTTGACGACATGTTTTTTATACTTTACATGGCGTGATCAATGAAATATCCTTCCATCCTTTTTTCCTTTGTATAAGATGATTTTGACGCTCTTTTTTTTTTTTTTTTTGAACTTTCTTAATGTTGTTTGTACAGCGAGAAAAAGACAATTAACGGAAGAGAGCGAGATCCCTGAAAGAACGAGGCATCATCATGAGTCGCAGGAATGGAAAAGCTCCAAAACTTGATTTGAAGCTGAATTTGTCGCCGCCAAGAGGGAACCTCCGCCTTCAGTCGCCGAGCCGATCATCGACGGTGTCGCCGACATCTCCGCCCAGTTCTTGCGTGTCCTCCGAGCTCAACCAGGACCAAGACACCTATACCTTCTCCAACAGCCCTGATTCGACAGCAATGATAGTGGCGGGCTGCCCCCGCTGCCTGATGTACATCATGCTTCCGGAGAAGGATCCCAGATGCCCCAAATGCAAGAGCACGGTTCTGCTAGAAGTGTTCAATGAGGGCACCAAAACTGGCGGTGCCCCCAAGCCCACCTCAACCACAACCACCTAGATCAGAAGTGGTAGACTTCTGCCTCATATTACTAGGAATTGTTACCTTATCTTGTCCGCCTTGGCTCTACCCTTTTTTTTTTTTTTTGTTTTGGGTTTGGGTTTTTGGAAGGGGGGGGGGGTGGTTTCTTTAAAAGTGACTCTATTTAGACTCCACTTTTTTTTTTCCATTGCATTTTTTACAGTTGACGGGGACCAGGGAAAAAAAAAAGGGAAATTAGTAATATATATATATATTATATGCATGGATTGAGTGGAATTTGAATAGTTTCCACTTTTCTTTTATCATTTCCAATTTCTTAGGCATAGGATGCAGCCTTTCTGGGATAGCAGAAGATGTTATGGTGGTTCTGAGACAGTGTAAACGGGCTATATAACTAGAAAACAGCCCCACTTTTTTGTTATCAAAAGGAAAAAAAAAATGAAAAAGGCCAGGTCATTTTCTGCCTTGTTTTTCCAGTGGGATTTTCATCAATGTCGTTATGTAATGCATGATGCCATATTGCCAATCACTGATTACCGATCAGTCGATACGCTGGTGGATACCGCAAGTGTGAGTACAAATTTCACTTAACCGAAAATTCAGAAATTGGCCACGATGCTCTCGTACTTGAACTTGAACTCTTGAAGAAGAGCAGCAGCAGCAGCATATAATTTTTTTTGTTTGTACGGTCCCACTAAATTGCCACGTGCACAGCCCCCACAAAATTCAACTAATTCGTAGGCCTAATTTTGCCGGATAATTCTCCGTTCCTATGCCACGTCAGCTTATGCATCGCGTTACGCATAACCTTCTGAGAAGGTCCAAAATAATTGTCAAACACGAATCCAGCATCATCACCTGCTGGTTTTTAGTTTTTACCCACCCACATAGAAAACCAAACAATTACTATCAATGAAGAAATACTACTAGTAAGTAAACAGATGAAAAGAAGAACGGTAAATAGATCCATTTTCCCATGAAGACCAAAAAAAAACAAAGAGAGAGAGAGAGAGAGAGAAAGAAAAAGGAAAAAGGTGAGTAATTAAGGTTTGGTTGGAGGAGGAATACATATGGCAGCAAGCTGGAGCGGGCAGAAATTGAATTCGCTCCAAGAGAAGCGGGCAGGCATGAAAACATTAATGTGATCCCAAGTTGTTCAACGTCAACATTATTGTTATTAACCATATAATACTACGTACTAATCAGCTGAAATGATAACACGATACCGGCCTACATGCTTGTGACGTAATTATTAGGTCAAAGACGAAAGAAAGTAATGAGAAGGGTAATTAAGTAAATGTGAAGGACCCGGGTAGCTCGGGCATTGAAAAAAAAAAAAAAAAATGGGGGACTATTTCAGAATGATAGACCATTAAAAACAAATAAATGCAAAGAGTAATTGAGACGGTTGAGAATAATGAAGAGTATTGCGTCATATGATAAATACAAATTGAATTCGCATCCTTTCCTTGCTTCCTTTGCCCTCCTTACTTCTCTTTCCATCTTCTTTTTTTTTTTTTTTTTTTTTTTTTTTGCATTTATCGACATTTGTACTACTGCTACTACTTTCATGATGCACTGCTATGGGGTGGTATGTGCAAATAAATTGTCTGCTTATTTTTGCAACATTGCACCAGCTTTTTACACTTGTCCCACTAAAAAAATCCCTAAAAAAATCCGATCCCATGTCCTTTCTCTACTTCAACAATGACAGATGCTTCACCTTTCTGTTCTTGACATTTCTAAACTCCCTTAATTTCGTATAACAGACCAATTTTACCACATTCCACTTGTGCTCATTTCACAAACCACTAGTATAATTAGCCATCCGATTTTCTTTTCTTTATTTCTTTTTCATTAAAAAAAATTTTTTTTTGGGTTGTCAAGGTGTATTAATGTGCTCCATGTGGTGATAATTACTCTCGTACAAAGAAAGATAATGCATCAACCCCGACTTTGTTTGTTAGATGTTAATATTTAAAGGGGGCCAAAAAAAAAAAAAAAACAAGCAAGCAAGCAAGCGACACCAAACTCCCAATTTAGTCGAGGGCCAAAAATGTCAGACACTAAAACATCACACACAATCTGATGAAAGCTGAAAATGTGGCCTTTTAAGTAGTAATATCTTTTATCGTTTGGAAAAAAAAAAAAAAAAAGTAGTAACATAATGAGGAAATACCACGTACAACTGCCCAACCAAACTCTACGTTCTACAACATAACCCAAATTTTGTCCACAAGTTCATGTGGAAAACGCAGGAGTGACGTTACACACACGCTTTAACTTTGGAAAATTAGTTTTTAGGTTTAGAAAAACTAGTGTTTTGACCCGTGCTATGCATGGGATTATATTTCAAATCAAAATAATATTGTATATATTTATATATTATGGTACAGAATAATAAATATATATACTAAAATTTTTAAAGAAGTGATGCTTAATATTTTGAAAAAAAAAATTAATCTATAATGATTTACATGATAAAAGAATTGTTAATGCATTTAAGGAAAAGGTTATGTTGGGTGGTAAGGTGAGAAGAAATTTCTTTAAAAAAATCAATTTATCAATATCTGACAAAACATATTATGTTATACTCATATATCAATACTTATAATATAAAAAAATAAATTATAACCAATTTATTTTCTTCCATTTTTAGAAAAAAAATCTTTCTCCTATCTTGTGCCCCTATAATTGTTGAATGCATTTAGATTAGCATTTTTCATAAACTTTAACGTATATTTAAAAAAAAATCTCCATAATATGTGGTTTTAAAATTTTCAAAATTATTAAAAATCACCGTCATTTTTCTCTTCTCTTATCCGACACCTAGTCATTAGATGCTTTCTACGACTTTCATATCTTATATCATGGTATCACTCTCTCTATTATCTTTGTCATATTCCTGCAATCCCTTTTCTTCTTCTCTCCCTTCTCTGCCCATCTTTGTAACACATATTTATTTTTCAACATTTCCTGTCACTTTTCAACTTCTCACTATTTTCTTTCCTTTCTCCCCCTATACCTAACCTCTAAATTCATATCCCTACACCCAATATATTTAACTTTACCTATCATAATGAAAATATAAATTTGAAAATTTATTACAATGGTTGCAATTATTAGTATCTAATAAGGGGAATGAAAAACTGATAATATCTATAATATCCTCAAGTATTACAATCAATATATATATATATATATTTTTAACATAGCAAATACATATTTACATATGATGATAGCAATAAGAATACATAAATAATTAATGATATCAAAAGTTATCCTTAGTGTTTGGGTTTTGCACTCTTATTCAAATCTAATGTCTAATTTGGGTCAGATATATACAAATTAAGTAGTATTTTAGGGTTGAATGTCCTATATCTTTCTTTTAAACTATAATGTTACTTTTAAAAAAAAAATTGGTAGAATTGCTGTTGTTATTATCATTATTTTTTTTATCAAAAATGAATATTTAAAAAAAATTTCACGTTAAAAGGCTAGTAGTACTTTGTTTTTTATTTAGTGATTTCATAATTTGGATTTCACAAATGGTATCATTTTTTATTTTTTAAATCCATAACATTATTTCATGAATATTTTTTATTTAATTTTACCCTTTTACTTAGGATTACTAAGTTAAAAGATAAAATATTGTCATTTACTTTTTACTTTTACTAAGTTTGGCAATGCTTTCTTTTTATTTACCCTCCCACTAATAAACTTCAAACCAAATTTCTATATAAGTGGAGTCAATACTTTTTTAAATTAGAAAGGCATGGAAGCCACTTCTTACTTAAAAAAATATTATTTGCACTCCATTTTTTATTATTTGCAATTCCACTATTTGTTTTATCATATAGTATAATTAATGAAAATTATATAACCAAAATGATTATTGAAGTGTGAATAACAAAAATGGAGTATAAATAATCTTACTTATTTAAATTAATAAGAAAGCACAAATAGGATAACATGCATATTAACCAACAATTTGAAATGAAATGATTTTAAAAGGTAACCAACAATTTCAAATGTGAAGAGTAGATGTGGAAGTTGAGAGAAATATATTTTATAAATTAAATTAAATGTGAAATGCTAGAAAAATGGAATTGGTAGTGGGAAGATGCGTGGAGGCTTGTTGTTAAAAATCCCTTCTCAAATTTATATAGATATAGATATAGATTTTAAAGTTGCATCTTATTTGACCCCACTAAATTTTAACAAATTTTATTTTCTATATACATTGACCCCAAACAATTGAAAATTCATAATTGTTATCATCACATGAATTTTGTATTTATTTCAAGTTATTTATCAAAGTTATTTCAAGAATAAATTCTTCCAGAGCACTCGTAGGGTACGTACAATAATGAATATTTCAGAAGATAAGTACTCTAGGGTACAATTATGAATATTTTGGGTGGTAGGTGGAAGGAAAGGGTGGTACATTTTTCTTTTAAGTTATTTTTTAGTATTTTTATTGGGTGTATTTGGGATGTTTTTAGAGTTATTTTTTGAGTGTATTACCGTGTACTTGTATTAGAAAGACTAGTTAGAATCAAAGTGCATACAAAGGTATTTGGAATGTTTTTTAGAGGTATTTTTTAGGTGTGTTTGGATTGAGATGATTTGAGATAAAATAATTTGTTTCACATATTTTAATTACCTTTTTATCTTTCTAATCACCTTTTTATTTCACATACATCATATCACAAAAAATGTTATAGTAATTATCTCAAATAAATCATCCAAATAAACTCCTATCCAAACAAATTCATGTATTGTTTTTAACATACATTTTTATAAACTATAGTGAGAATGGTATAGCACGTAGCACGAAAAATTTTTTATACTAGCTGGAGCAAGTATTGGTCCAACCTGGGGCTTTTTAATTGGATTCAATTATTTAGACCCAAAGTCCATGTACAGTTAGACCCCAAATTTAACGGTTCAAACTAGAGATGTACGCGAGCCGAGTCGTAATCGAGTAGCTCGCGAGTAGCTCGGTCAACGGTTTGACTTGTATTCGAGTTGACCAAGTTCGAGTCGAGTCTCGAGCTACTCGATTGTCATTCGACTCGAGTTTTGAGCCAATATTTTGAGGCTCGAGACTTGTCGAGCTACTCGTCGAGCCGGGGTATTTAAATAATATATTTATAATTTAAATTATATATATGTATTATAATTATAAAATGACCATTATGGGTATAAGTTTTACGGAATTTACATTCGAGTCGAGTCAAAAAACTTGATTAGACTCGATTTGATAAGGTTTGACTAAAGGTCGAGCCTTATCGAGTCGAGTCTCGAGGTTAAAGCGAGTTCCTCGAGTCAAGTTTCGAGTATCGATTTTTTGTACTCGATCGAGCTCGAGCCGAATTTGAGCCTAGGTATATATGAGTCGAGTCGAACTCGAGTATAGCAATACTCGAGCTTGACTTGGCTCGATTACATCCCTAGCTCAAACGGGCTAATC